GGGAAGGAACTCTGAACTCTGCCCACGGGCCCCTCGCTTTGTAGGTGAGCGATCCCCTTTAATCGCCACAAGAATCCTCTTAGGGGAGTATTATCCCCATTTCACAGAGCAGGGACTCCAATCCAAAAGGTCTGTGAGTGACTTACCCACGTCCCACGATTGGCAAATAAACGGAGATCACCCGAGTCACGGTTGTCTTTCAGATACACAGGATCATTGAATTGAAAACTTTAACCTCAAATTTGACGAAGTGCTTTCGTAGCCTCCGCTGAACATGTGCCACATTCCTAAATGCTGCTCCTGTTTTAATATCTTGACCTGTGACTCTCTCATAATTCAGCTATTTTACTATTGATGGACACTTGGATTGTAATTTTTACAAACAAATGTCTTCATATATAGATCTTTGCGTCTCGCGTTATTTTCTTACGGTTGACTCCTACAAATGTCATTACTAACACTCCCTCTCCGGCAAGATATATTTATTAATTTGTCCTCCTGACCAAAGCAGCCTCACGGGCACAGCACCCTCTCACCCTCAGCAGCACTGACTTCTTTCATTCTATAATAAACAAAAAGCTGCAAATTAAAGCGCCTCCTTAAGCTGAACAATAACTGCGGTAGCAGTCATTTGCAAGCTCTTTATTAGTTTCATAGTCCAAAAGGGACATTTTCTTGTTTAACTTGCACTTGGTTCATTACAACTGAAACTGCGCATTTACCCTGTGGGGACTGGCCAACGGTAACTTTTCGTTTGCTGTTTTTATGAAAGAAAAGTAAGGGATGCTTTTTTGCTTGCTTCACCTTCAAGACCATGTTCATCTTCGGAAGAACTTCATTGGTGTTCGACATTCTTTTGTCAGCAGCATGCCAAACATTCACCCCACTAACATAGGGGCCCACAGGTATCCTTTTAAATTTACTTGTACCCTTTGTTGATTAACTTGAGATTTTCAGAAAACTTCAAAAATTCGTTACCTTCAGACACGTTCCCAAGACCAGCATGGTATCCAGAGATGAGGCAATTTTGCTTCCATGTCCTTGACACTGTAGTTCTGAAGCTAACCAGGTCATAGAATCATGGGAAGATATGCATTCAGAGCACATACTCAGCGTGGAAATCACTGAGTAGTGCGTGTATAAGTGCAGGGCCCTCTTCAGGGTCACATTACATTTACGTTAGACAGCACTGTTCTAGAATGCAGGGGCAATGCAACGCCACAGCTTATTCACTGGGCCATAGCATCCTTTTCTGACTGCCTTGTGTTCTCTGTGTATAACAACCCTGTCAGCAGTGCCTTGGATCCTGCACAGGAACTTGACATAGTACTGTTGAAATTCTAGCTAGTACCAAAGGTGTGCATTTTCCTTGCAATATACAGCAACATCCTTCCACGGAAAGAGTACTTTCGATGACCCAACACAATAGGTTTGGATCTTTTGACAAGTGGCAGCACTGTAGATTGGGGAACAGACAGGAGGCGGAGCAACTGGGACAGTCTTGCAAAAACCCAGGCAAAACAATAAGTGCCTCTGCCACGGGGATGGGGAGGATGAACCAGAAGCATTTAGAAACAATGGGGAGAGGACCAGCTGAATGTGGTGATAACAAGGAAAAAAATCTGAGGTCAAGGACATAATTCTTCATGAGAACAACATGTAAGTAGATGATGAGAACGTCAAGGGGATACAGGACGAGGAAGAGATTTAGGGATTCAGAGTGGGGACAGGAGGTTTGGTTTGGGAGCTTAGAGAGGAGTTCGAAGCCTGTGGAATGAGGCTCAGCAGTGAGTGAGGTGAAGCTTGAGATCCGGAAGTGGATGACAACAAAGGACAGAGAGAAGGGAGATGTCAACAGACAAGGAGAGAAGAGGAATGACAGGAGACAGAAGTAGAAGCCAGGAGAGTATAGGACAAAAAAGAAGAGTGCCATCGAAGCTTCGTCTGAGGATTTCAAGAAGAGCAGTGTCAGTGAGATGAAGTCAGAGGACCGAGGAGGCCACTAATGGATGTGGTTACAGTGCACGATTTTTAAAAGGAGAGGAAGGCCACTAGAATCAGCAGTAAGGCGGACACTTGACCTGAGTAAGAGCATCATTTGCTGCTGACTGAAACTGCTCTAATGGGATACAATCTTTCATTCTGTAATAAACAGAAAGCCGAAAATTAAAGTACCTCCTTAAGCTGAACAATAACAAACGTTTTAAGTGTCATGAGTCACAGAGTTTTAGAACTGGAGGAGTGCTTACTGATCATCCGTCTAATCCATCCCCCTTTTTTTATGGTTCAGGAAACTCTGGTAAAGGGCAAGTTTCAAGAAAGAACAATTTCAG